TACCCTGAACCCTCCAAGCTGATATTCTAATCAATCACTTATAAGCACGCGCTCTGCTAACTGCGCAGTAAGCAGCGGCTGCGCTGCAATGTGGGCAATATTATGAGAATTTATTTCTTAAATAATTTCTTTTGTAGACATACAATCTTAATGAAACTTTCAGAGCGTAATCATATGGTGTGTGTACATTCCAAAGCACAAGTCTCTAGTATTTGAAATGCGTTTTTTACAAATTGGGGACGAAGGGGGCGTGGTATCCAAAATCTGTAAATTACAAAATCTTTGTGTCCATTAACTCTATATACAACGCAAATTTGAAGTCTCCAGGCTTAAAAGTGTTCAAACTAGGCTGAAAAAACCAAGTCGATTTTTCGATTATTCTCGATAAAAAAGTTATCGGATGAGTTATCGAAAAAATAAAGCAAACTCGTACTGCCTATGGTATACACGAGTATGCATGCCAAATTTCAGATCTCTAGCTCTTATATCTTCTGAGATCCTTTTGCTCATACGGACGGACGGACGGACGGACGGACAGACGGACAGGTCTATATCGACTCAGCTCGTCGTCCTGATCAAGAATATATATACTTTATGGGGTCTGCGATGATTCCTTCTGCCTGTTACATACTTTTCACAAAACCATTATACCCTGATTTCCCATTTTCAATGGGTTCAGGGTATAAAAAGTGGAAGTAATGCCTATTAAATATTAAATAAATATTGAATTGAATTGAAGTATCTGACAAAGGTCAGAGGGCAAATGTCGATCAGATCTTAAACAAGTTTAATAAAGAGAATTATCTGACAAAGGTCAGAGGCGAAATGCCGGTTAAATATTAAAAAAAAAAAGTTTAATAAACAGTTCTTATGTTATCTGGCAGTGGTCAGTGGAAGTCTATCGATAAAAAAATGTATAGAAGAAATGTGTTGAAAACAGTCAATAAAATGCAAATTGCTCGACGGAAGCACTTGATAGACGGATGATTTGTGGTTACAAACAAACATCTATACTTGTTCACAATGATCGAAAGTAAATACAAATGACAATTGTTAACATGATTAACAAACAATAAAAACAATAGATAAAGAGCAACTAAGATGTCAGCAGCACTGACTGCTGAATGGCCTTGAAACACATATGGAATGCGACCGATCAACAATGATCCATAAGACATGCATATGCATATACTTAAAATGTACATACACATATGTACTATGTATCTTACTAAATAAATCGCCATTGGACAAAACCATAATAAGTTTCGGCATTAGCATACAGTGTGTGTACCGTATTAGAAGTTCTGCTCGCTCAACCGTATTGCAGGGTTATTCTTCCAATGAGCGAGTTTTCTTAACCATCTCACTCACTCATTCATTCACACACGCGGTCTTCAGTGCGCTCATTCTTATTATGCTCTCACACTTTTGCTAATTGGGCACATTCATAACGGCGATAGAGATGTTAACATTGACGCGTCGCCACCAACACTTGGTGTATTAGAGTTATACTTTTTATTTATTTTTTTTTTTTTTTTTTTTTTTGTATATATCTTTATTTACAATCTGTTCTTTGTTGAACATTCAATAAATGGGATAGTACACATTCAGGGCGCTACCTAATTAGTTATGTGGTGGGGGTGTAGGGAGGGTTGAATTAGTTAAATAGCATGATCTGTTCTAAAAGGTAAATCAAGTGGATATAGTCTCCTCAAGCGACGCAAGTGTTGACTGTTGTCGAGGAGGTTAATGGCGAGTGGATTGGCGTGGTCATCCAGCCTTGTTGTGTATTTTCCTGACGTTTCACGAATGGCTTGATGGATTGTCTGGATGTTGAGGTCGCGATGCAGGTACCTGTTCCTCATGTAGAATGGAGCCTTGGTGAGCCTTAGTGCTCTGTTCTGGAATCTTTATATTATTCGCACGTTGGAATTGCTGGCCGTTCCCCACATTTGTAGACAATATGTCCATATTGGTTTCAGCGTAACCTTGTATATTAGAATTTTGTTTTTAAGGGAGAGCTTGGACTTATTGCCTATAAGCCAGTACAACCGTCCAAGTCTGTGGTTCAGCTGCTGGCGTTTATTTTTGATATGCTGGCGCCATGTAAGCCTTCTATCCAGCGTAAGATTTGCTGATATAATAGCTTCTCGCGTATTTCAGGGAGTAAGTTATTCTTTAAAATCTCCATTAATTCTTCTTCTGCTACCTTGAGTGAAGATTTATCTATAAGAGAGGCTACAGATTCATAGAAAGTTGAAAAAGACTCTTGGTTTTTGCTTCCGAGCTCTGATCATCTCCATCTTCATAAAGCCTGACCGATAGTCATCATACTGTTGACAAAGAGATGCACAGAGGTCAGACCAAATAATATGGTCAACTTGTTTGTGGTATCTCCAATACCATGATCGAGCCTTTCCGCTAAATAACACATGCATATTCTTGCACATGCCTGTAAACTCACTATCTAAGGTCTCATCTGTTAACGAGTTAACACGATAGATAAATTCATTAACCCCTAATCCATCTGATGAAGCATCAAATTGAACTCCCCACTTTTGCATAATGTCAACGATCCTTCGACTATTCAAGGAGCAAGCGCCTATTGATGGGGACTCGCGACTGTTCGCTATCGGCAATGGTTCGATTGGCGAAGGGCGGTTGTTTATGGATAGCGAGGACATGACCCTAGTAACTGTTTCTTCATTCATGTTCTGAATAACATTGTAGTCCGGATGCTGAGTCATTGAGAATTCGCACCACGGAATGGTCGAGTTGCTCTGGGTCGGCCCCTAGTAGTTCTGGGTCGCGCAGCTTCAGCCTGACTCGGGCTTTGACTCGCATCTAAAGCTGATGACTGTGCGCCACTAGCATTCAACGCAGCGGCTTCTTGTACATTAGCTGGATTGTTGGCCTCATCTAGTGCTAAAGTTCTGGCAAGATTTCTAGTTGTAACTCGACGAGTTACTGGAGCTGGTGGCGGAGCTGTCTCATGCCTCCGAGAGGGTGAGCAATTGCCTACTACTAGCTTCATTTGCTGCTTATCTATTGGTGTCTGGCAAGTATAACAGACGGTATTTTCTGTTCACCACGCTTCCACGCAGTTTTTATGAAAAATATGCTGACACGCTAATAAATAGCAAGGATATGTATCGTCCATTTCTGTCGCTCATAGCGCGCATTTGTTCTCTGTACTACCTACAGATGCGACGTGCGGCGGTGTATTTATATCAGGCATAGTTACTAAAATATTTTGTTAAATTTGACTATTAATGGCAAATAGAGAGAGAATCGAGGTATTCTTATAAGTTCTAACTGTTTCGAATTGTTTCATTTTGGGCTATTGAAACTAAATCTAGCAGGTATTTACAAATTGACTATCGCTACAACCAAAAACTATACTATTCGGCAAGGGAATGCACAGGCAGCATATCTTCGAGTGCCAGACAATAGTACACTTAAAGACGCAACAACAACAACTTATCAACACACAACTAGCATTGCTTTAGGCTTCTACCATTCTTCAGTTAAGTAAAGAATACCCTCCAGGGATAATCAGTATTGGTATCCTAGCCGAATACACAATATTCTGGAATTATTTAGAGAAGTTTTTCTAGAACTAGATTGAATTGTGGTTTCATCCACAGCAAACAAAAACGAGCAACAATTGTGAAGGAAGATTTTCTTTTCCAAAGCAGAGATGCTTTAATTAATTTAAAGTTGAAAGATTCTTCAAGCTGTCTCGGCCTGCGATCGGTCTGAATCCAACAGCTTCGTAGTACCTATGAAAACAAATCTATACCTCTCAGCAGTCGCTGTTGCGATAGCTAGACCAACCAAGTCTAAGTCTATTTCAGCAATACAGGCTACTGAGACAACTAGTATTCTCACAAAAGGGGTGTTATGTATAACTATTACTCCATATAGAAGTCGCTATACATGAAAAATTCGGTTCACTGAAAGCGTATTAACTCACAGTGCCCCACGTTGGGCGCCATAAAAATGTATGTAATAGTTCTGACTTGTGTATGAACGAAACAATGTATTGCCTTCGCTCTACGAATTTTAGGCCCCATATTGGGCGCCATAAAACTTATGTAATATCGCTCGTACTCGTGTAATGAATGAAGGCGAAACAGCACCCCATTCATATGTATACATATATACACATACATATACTCACACACATGCATACATACATACATACATACATACATACACAAACATACACAAGACGTGGCTCGGGTAATGGCGGGCGGAATCCTCTGGTTCCCATTAGCTCTGTGGGCGAGGCACTCTAAATCAATCAGAATATCTGCCAATATTAATTCACCATGATTTTACATCGGGAAACAGACAATTTCTAGCCATTGACTGGCTACTGCAGCAAGATAATGCTCCTTGCCATAAAAGATCAATACCTACAAAGTTTTTGAGGAAATTAAACCAAGTCATTCTGCTCTGTTCTTCGCAAAGTCCGGGCCTTAACGAATGAAAATGTTTGGGCAATGATGAAATCTAACAGATCATTCAACAAGGACCGAAAACAGGATGATATCATCAAGGAGATTACCGAGATTTGGTCGAAATTAACAATTGACTTGCCCGATCCTTGGTGGCATCAATTCCAGTAAGGCATCGAGCTGTAATTGAAGTAAAAGCAGGAAAACTTAACACAAAGTTAAATAAATAAGCCCTTTGTTATATAAAGCAAAAGTCCAAAATAAATAACATTAAATAAAAGCAATAAACATTGTTTAAGTTTTGTGTAAATACTAAAGACGCAAAAAAAATTGTGTGTAAATACTTTTGACAACCTCTAAGTAATTGTTCTTTTCGCTCTATTTATTAGCATGTACCGTTATTTTAGCAATTTCTTCAGCCGATCGCTTCTACATAGAATAAGCTTTTTGTCACAAAAGCTTTTTTTCAAAAACGGTGAACGAAAACAACAAAAAAAGCTCTTTAAGCAGAGTGTAATGGTCAAAAAATATATTTAATGATAATTCACAATTGCAGTGCATATCATTCGCGACAACTTTGTCGCCTGCACTGCAATACCAGCTGATCTTGCAAAAGCTTACATTGCGAGAGCAAGCCTTTGCAAGAACCTTCAAAGCTTGGGACACAGCTGGTAAATTGCACCCATCTTCGCTTCTTACATTCCAAGAAGAGAGAGAGAGCAACTGGAATGTGGGCCTATAAAAAGAGCCACATGGGTCAAATCGTTCTTTTTCCGGCATCACGAGATCATCAAGTCAAAATTTGGTTGTGCTGAAAATTTAAAAGTATAAACCTATATAATTAAACCAAATAAAAAAATTTTGTTTTTGACAAAATAAAACCCACGAACCCAAAGATTAAGAAAGTGCAAGCGATCGCGTTTGCTTTTTGCATTGAATTGAATTGAATTTGCAGCGCGCAGCTGCCGGTCTCAAAATATATGTTAGATATATAAACATTTATATATATATATATATATATATATATATATATATATATATATATATATATATATATATATCAGGTATGTGAAAAAGACTGTTCAGAGAAAAAAAAAAATTCAAGTAATTAAGAAAGATTTTCCATTTTCAGTGGACTTTTGTCCATTTTTCTCATATTAGATACCCTAACTTCACGCCAGCAAGGGTCACCTTGAAGAGCGGAGGTTAGGGTACGAAAAGCCGGCAGAGCAGCATAACGCCTAAGCGACGGGGGAGATGAAGGGCAGCATCAAAAGAAAAAAACCGAAAAAAAAACCAACAAAATAAAAGAAACTTTACTGCGTGAAAAAAACAACCATATGAATTTCTGAAAACGTGAAAAAATATAACTAATGAAATAGAAATTTGAAAATAGATTAGTATTTGCATATAGAAAAAAAAAAAAAAAAAACTGCGAAATATAAAGAAAAGAACCCAAAATAAAAAAAAGAGTTTGTGCAAGACATTTAAATTGCCGACGGCAAGTGAGAAGTTATTTTTTTTTGTCGAGAGAAAAGTTAAAGAAAACAGAAAAATTAGTGGTTTAAAAGCTCAATCATAAAATCTATAATTACTATATATATATAATGAACACACAAAAACGAAACCAATAAATAAATATATATCAATAAATATATATCAATAAATAAATAAAAATGAATAAATAAGAAACATAAAGCAAAGTACAGCACATCAAAGAAAAAAATGAATCCACACACCCTATAAAGAAAACTTGAAGAGAAAAAAAAATTTTTGTTAAAAATAACTAACAAAAATAACGCCAGAAAAAAAAAAGTTTAAGATTGTGTTGTTCCTCCCCTCCCGCCAATATACCCCATTTCTACACTTAACAGCTGACACCACCACGCAGAAAGGCCGCACGCAGAAAGAAGAAAAGAGAAATAATGATTTAGATAAATAAAAACAGCAGAAAAATAGTAAACGTATAATTGTAAGTGAAGTAAAAATTATTATTTGAATGAAAAAAAATAACAGTAGCAATGAGAAAGTTTATATATAGGTCTTGAATATTAGTTGTAAGAACTTTGTTTTTTTTTTTTGAGTCTGCGTACTCAACAATAAAAAAAATGAATTCAACAAGTTACATCAGTTATTGAGAAGGAATCATGCAATTTTAAAAGTCTAGTAAATTTGGTTATATAATGGGGTAGGAAGTCGTCCGATTTTTCTCATTGGGGGTTTTTACCAATTTAAAAAAAACCATGGTAGGGTTGGGTGGAGAAGCGGGTGCCAATCGTCACCTAAGGCCTCGCCTCTTCATATTTTTTTTTCTGGTATAGGTACAACCTCTGTGCTCGTCTTCCCCCCTTCCCCTTCACTTCGGTCATGTGGACCATCTTTAGGGATCTTAACAATTTAAAATTTGTGTTGGGAGATTGGAGAGGTAACAAAGAACCCCCCTACACTCATGAATGAGCTAAGGGACCAGGAGATCCCGCCCGTTATCTCTAAATCTATGGCTAGCTCTATGCATTAATGTTGATGAATGAATGTTGGCGCCCGACCAGGGACAGGGAATGCATAGAGCCAAAGCAGTGCTTTAGTAGCAGCATATACAGCACTCGTCGGCCTACACACCACAATTCACTACAAATTGTATGGCGCCCAACGTGGGGCACTGAGGAGCAGTAGTCGTTAGCGATACTATGCTTTTCGTCCATCGATTTCATAGTGAGGCATTGAGAGTATTAATTGTTAAAAATGATATGCTTTCAGTGTACCGAGTCCAAAATGGGGCATACTAGACTCGAGTTTACTTTTATACGAAGCTAGTAGGCGCATTTTATATTGTGAATATCCGATACGCTAACGATAGTTAGTTAGATAGTTCGTTTATAGAGTGGTAAATTAAAAGCAGCTGCACTGGAACTTTGGCATTTGACTGAGAGCGAATGCATTGCCGACAACGTATTTTCTTTACAAGCACACTCATTTATATTCAAACAAAACAATCGGAATTAAGATCTGTTTTCACAATAGCTCGTTTGTTTTCGATAACCTTTTATATCTTTATTGAAGTACATGTGACTTTAAGAATATAGGTCCGCTTCTGGAATCTTGTGTATTTAGCTAAGATTGGATACCCTGCCGAAGATGGATACCCTATATTTTCAAGATAATATGACAATAAATTTATAATCAGGTTTTCATTCCCGATAAGAAAAGTTGGTCGATGTAGTACAATCATGTTGTAATAAGTACATTACTTCATTTATGAATATTGCTTCGCCAATTTGACATCGGATGTTAGATGCAATAGCCCAGTTTGTATCCCTTATGTGTTTATACCAGAACTTAAAAAGAATATGGAATTGACTTCCTCCCCATTTATATTAACCAAAACAATTCATTATTAGTTTTGAATTATCAAACTTTATGTTAAACAAGTAAGAAAGCTCTAGTCGAGACTGCTCGACTACGAGATCCCCTGAACCCTTGGAGCAATAGATATTTCAATACTTTTTCGCGACTTTCAGCTTACACAAGAAACACGCACACACACACAAACACACACACGTACGTACACACACAGGTAAACATACACACACACGCATAAAGACACACATACACACACACACGCATACAGACACAAACGCATACACACACACACACACATACAAGCAACCACGCATAAACACGCATGGGCTGCAGTGTGCGCTTACTATGAGAACTTAATTGTTTAATAACTTTTTTTATGGACGTACGATCTTCATGAAACTTTTAGATTATGATTATAACATGAATATGCATGTAATTGCCAAAGCACAAGTCTCTAGTATTTGAAATACGCTTTTTACAAAAGTGAGGGTGAGGGGGTGAATTTAGAGGTGGGGGGTAAATTTTAACAAAAACCGAAATTGTATAAATTGCATATAAGCATACATTAAAAATTTGGAGACTCTAGCAATAAAGGTGTAGAAGATATAATTTTATAACTGGGTTTCGATAAGGTTTTTTATCGATAAAAAAGATCGGGATGAGTTATCGATTTTTAATGATAAACTTGATATGCACGCTGTAATTACGGACATTTTAAAAAAAATTTGAAGTCTCTAGCTCTTATATCTTCTGAAATCGACGCGTTCATACATACGGACAGACGGACAGACGGACAGACAGACGGACAGGGCCAAATCAACTCAGCTCGTCACCCTGATCAAGAATATATATACTTTGTGGGGTCTGCCACGCCTCCTTCTCCCTGTTACATACATTTCAACAAAACCATTATACCCTGATTTCCCATTGAAAATGGGTTCAGGGTATAAAAAAAAAATTTAGGATTTTTGTTTGTAGAACCGTTGTGAGGTAATAGTTGAAGCCACTATGCCTCTTGCTCGTAGTCCGCAACGTAATTCCGCATCTTCGGATGATGCTGGGAAGAATTGCGACATATGTGGTCAGGTTTTGACAAATACTCAATCATGCTCTATCACTAATTGTAAGCATATTTATTATAAGCGATGCTTGAAAGAGTGGTTGAATGATCGCAACACTTGTCCTAATTGTGCAGCTGTGATAAATATACAAGATTTGAAGGTAGTGATAGGAAATTGTTCGCCTCAATCGAAGCAAGCAGATCCGTCAGTCCCAGGTCCAAGTACTCGGGCAGTGACTCGAAACTTGGCCAAAGCATTAAAAGACGTAGATACTCAAAGAGTCACAGCAGATCAGCGTGCGTTAGAGGTGAGTGAAGAGAGAAGAGTGGAATTAGACAACAGTATTGGCACCAACCAAAATGAACATCCTCCTTCACGGGGAATAAACACGCGAAGACGAGGTCGTCCTTATCGTGCAGGTACCAATCGTCGCGAGGATCACGCCCCAGTTGATTATTCTACTATACAAAATATGATCGAGCAAACCGTAACTCGATTAATGTCGTCCTTGAATGTAAGCAATCGGTCTCCACCTAATGCTTTACCGCGTCCGTCTGTTCAAATGTCACCGTCAAGTCAGACATCAGTTCATCCGAGTAAAGTCGCACAAATAATACAAAAATGGAACATTCAGTTTGATGGTACCGAGGAAGGCTTAGGTGTAGATGATTTATGTACCGGGTAAAAGTATTAGCTGAGGATACGTTAGATGGTATCTGGAGGCTTTGTGCAAGCATATGCACATACTTTTCGCCGGAAGAGCAAGAAACTGGTACTGGAGATACCATAAGAAGGTGGATCGTATCATTTGGTCAGACTTTTGTTTTTCGTTACGTCAGCAGTACACGGACTATCGATCCGAATTCGCCAGTAAAGAGTTAATACGCTCTCGAAAACAAAAAGTGAGTGAATCTTTCACAAATTTTTATGAAGGGATTGTGTCGCTTATCGACAAATCTTCAGTTAGAATCGACGAAGAAGAACTGATTGAGATTCTTAAAAACAATCTTCTTCCCGAAGCGCGTCACCAGCTGTTATATCAGCCGGTGCATCCAGTAGCTCAGCTTCGAAAATTGGTCCAGATGCATGAGAATTTAGTTGCAGAAACTAGTAGCCAAAGGGAAAATAGTTCTCGTAACAAGCAGCCCTTTCAGAGGCGACCAATTTATACAGTTGCTGAGCTCGATGCCGAGAACGGTCAGATTGAGGACATGGAACCTGAAATCGCTGCTGTTCATCAGTCAAACATACGTTGTTGGAACTGCGATACACCAGGACATGTGTGGGAAAATTGTTTAGCGGAGCGTCGTGTATTTTGTTACGGGTGTGGTGCACTTAATGTGTATAAGCCACAATGTAAGACTTGTATCCAACACTCGTCGGAAAACCGGCAGAAGGGTGCGTCCAACAACAACAGGATGCCCCTTGCAAAGACACATTGAGATCAGAAGAGGCGATCAACGCTATTATCCCTGAAGCTCCTTCGCCCGAATCCAATTTAAAGTTTGTCCAAAATGAAAATATCAGACCCCTACACATGCTGCCTTACCATGAACGACTCAAAAACTATTTGGAAGTAAGGCATAGGATATTTAGTGAAATAAGTCCTTTAAAAACTAGGAGTGGAGTAGCAAAGATTATTATAAAAGGTTAAGAAAGTATAGGAAGTTATTACTTTCAGCAATAATTAACGATAAAAATGATTCGCGTTGCTATGCTGAAGTTAGTTTTTTTCAGTTTACCGAACTGGGTCTATTAGACACAGGCGCAATTGTTAGCTGTATTGGAGCCTCGCTAGCTTTAGAAAACTTCTCAAACTATTCTGAGTTTAAATCACTTACATCCCAAGTGCAGACTGCAGATGGGAAAGCTCATAGCGTGGTTGGTGTACTGAATGCCCCAATTAATTACAAAGGAACTACGAAGACTCTCCGATTATATATTATTCCATCAATCAAGCAAAGATTAATTTTGGGTATCGATTTTTGGAAGGAATTTGCTCTAGCTCCTCACGTAATTAGCGCTATGCATTCAACTTCGGATGAGTTTGATAAAAATTCCACAGTTAGCACAGATTTGGTAGATAATTCATTTCCCTTAACTGATTTAGAATTGCGACAGTTAGAAGTCGTAAAATCTCTTTTCCCTAATTGTCAAGAAAAACTAGGCCGTACGCATTTGATTCAACATCATATTGATATTGGTGATGCACGGCCAGTTAAACAGCGTTTTTATCCAGTCAGTCCGGCAGTGGAAACGCTCTCGTATAAGGAAATCGACCGAATGTTAGCCCTTGACGTTATAGAACCATCGATTAGCGCCCGGAGTTCTCCCATGCGATTGGTGGTGAAACCGAATAAAATTCGGCTATGCTTAGATGCGCGTAAACTAAATGAAGCAACCTTTACCAGCGATAGAAGGTATATCTTCGCGTATGCCAAAAGCAAATTATATCACCAAGCTCGACCTAAAAGATGCTTTCTAGCAAATAGAATTGACCAAAGAGGCAAGGCCATTAACGGCGTTTACCATACCTGGCAGACCTTTCTACCGATTCAAGGTAATGCCGTTTGGCTTATGTAACGCCCCAGCAACCATGTGTCGTCTTATGGATGAATTAATACCTCCAGATCTACGCTATTGTGTATTTGGTTATCTAGATGATGTATACGTAGTTTCAGATAGTTTTTCAGCTCATTTAGCCGTGCTAGTACGCCTTGCAGAACAATTTCGCAAAGCAAACTTATCCCTGAATATTGAGAAAAGTCAGTTTTGCGTTAAAAGCGTAAATTATTTAGGACATAGGCAGTGGTGGTATCTGTACGGATCCTTCGAAGATTGATTGTATAAAAAATTGGCCACCACCAAAGAACCTTAAACAGGTTCGAGGATTCCTAGGTATTTGTGGGTGGTATCGAAGATTCATAAAGAATTACGCCGAACTCACATGCCCTATAACTGACACATTATCAAAGAAAAAGAAGTTCTTATGGTCCGTAGAAGCACAAGAGGCTATGAACCGATTAAAACTGATTCTTACTACAGCGCCAGTTTTACAGAATCCCGATTTTGAGAAAAAGTTTTATCTGCACTGCAATGCCAGTAATTATGGAATTGGAGCCGTGCTAGTTCAGTTGTCCTCCGAAAATGACAAAATGCCGATTGCGTTTATGTCAAAGTAACTGAGCCGAGCACAGAGAAACTATAGTGTAACGGAACGAGAATGTCTAGCCTAGTTTTGGCTATACAGAAATTTAGGTGCTATTTAGAAATGCAGGAGTTTGAGGTAGTTACAGACCACTCAAGTTTGATGTGGCTGATGCGTCAACAAAACGCATCCGGTAGACTTGCCCGATGGATCTTCCGCTTGCAGCCATATAAATTTACTATTTCTCATAGAAAAGGCAAAGATCACAGAGTTCCGGATGTCCTTTCAAGGATGTGTGAAGAAGAAGTTGCAGCGTTAGAAATTGGTCCGATTGTCGACTTGGACTCAGATGCTTTCTTTGACCCTGAGTATCAAGAGCTCAAGCAGAAATTTACTCTTGAGAAATCCAAATTCCCAGACGTTAAGATCTCTAGCCAGTTTATTTACATTCGAACAGAACATTCTAAATGCGTGGAAGACCAGAATGATAGTTTGTGGAAGTTATGGGTTCCCGAACGACTTAGAACAGATGTGCTTAAACAAGCTCATGACAGTGCGATTTCATCACACTGTGGGATGCAGAAAACAATAGAAAAACTACGGAGAAATTTGTTTTGGCCAGGATTAGCTAATGATGTACGTGCTTACATGCGTAGTTGCGACACCTGCAAAGAAACTAAATCTCCTAATCAAATTCTAAGACCACCAATGGGTTTACAGTCTCCCACATGCAGACCATTTCAAAGACTTTATATTGATATTCTAGGACCATATCCCAGAACTAAAAGTGGTTATATAGGCTTGTTGATTGTTCTAGACCATTTTAGCAAATTTCATTGGCTGTGTCCTTTAAAGAAGTTTACTTCATCTGTCATTCAGGAATTTTTGCTGAATAATATATTTCACTGTTATGGAGTTCCAGAAGTCTTAGTGAGTGATAATGGTAAACAATTTCGTGCTAATGACTTTAATGCATTTCTGACAGAATTGGGAGTGAGACATGTGTATACCGCTTTATACTCACCTCAGAGTAATGTGGCTGAACGTGTCAACCGCTCAATTCTATCTGCAGTTAGGGCATATCTAAAAGAAAATCAGACAGAATGGGATAAAAACATAACAGCTATTTCTTGCGCATTAAGGTCGTCACTTCATCAATCATTAGGTTGTTCGCCTTACAAAGCTCTCTTCGGATTAGAAATGATCACTCATGGAGCTGATTAGCGTCTCCTTAAAAATTTGTCCCTTTTAGAGGAGCCACATCTGTCTGTTTAAAGAACTGATCAACTCGCTTTGTTGCGAAAGGATCTGCAAAAGAACATTCGTACTGCGTATGAGGGCAATGATGCACAGTACAATCTAAGATCCAAACCAGTGTCCTTTAAGGAGGGTCAGGAGGTTTTCAGAAGAAACTTTACTCTCAGTAAATTTTCACAAAATTTTAATGCGAAGTTAGCACCGCAATCTGTTAAATGCCGAATTAAAAAGAGGCTTGGCAATAGCTTCTATATTTTGGAAAATTTACAAGGCATAGAAGTTGGAACTTATCATGCGAAAGATATTCGTATCTGATTCCCGCTAATCTTCTAACTATCGTATTAGATTATCGTGTATGTAATGGTCAAAGAATATATTTAATGATAATTCACAATTGCAGTGCATATCATTCGCGACAACTTTGTCGCCTGCACTGCAATACCAGCTGATCTTGCAAAAGCTTACATTGCGAGAGCAAGCCTTTGCAAGAACCTTCAAAGCTTGGGACACAACTGGTAAATTGCACCCATCTTCGCTTCTTACATTCCAAGAAGAGAGAGAGAGCAACTGGAATGTGGGCCTATAAAAAGAGCCACATGGGTCAAATCGTTCTTTTTCCGGCATCACGAGATCATCAAGTCAAAATTTGGTTGTGCTGAAAATTTAAAAGTATAAACCTATATAATTAAACCAAATTAAAAAAATTTTTTTTTGAGAAAATAAAACCCACGAGCCCAAAAATTAAGAAAGTGCAAGCGATCGCGTTTGCTTTTTGCATTGAATTGAATTGAATTTGCAGCGCGCAGCTGCCGGTCTCAAAATATATGTTAGATATATATACATTTATATATATATATTATTATGATATATATATATATATCAGGTATGTGAAAAAGACTGTTCAGAGAAAAAAAAAATTCAAGTAATTAAGAAAGATTTTCCATTTTCAGTGGACTTTTGTCCATTTTTCTCATATTAGATACCCTAACTTCACGCCAGCAAGGGTCACCTTGAAGAGCGGAGGTTAGGGTACGAAAAGCCGGCAGAGCAGCATAACGCCTAAGCGACCGGGGAGAGGAAGGGCAGCATCAAAAGAAAAAAACGGAAAAAAAAACCAACAAAATAAAAGAAACTTTACTGCGTGAAAAAAACAACCATATGAATTTCTGAAAACGTGAAAAAATATAACTAATGAAATAGAAATTTTAAAATAGATTAGTATTTGCATATAGAAAAAAAACTGCGAAATATAAAGAAAAGAACTTAAAATAAAAAAAAAAGAATTTGTGCAAGACATTTAAATTGCCGACGGCAAGTGAAAAGTTATTTTTTTTTTTGTCGAGAGAAAAGTTAAAGAAAACAGAAAAATTAGTGGTTTAAAAGCTCAATCATAAAATCTATAATTACTATATATATATAATGAACACACAAAAACGAAACCAATAAATAAATATATATCAATAAATAGATATATATGAATAAATAAAAAAAATGAATAAATAAGAAACATAAAGCAAAGTACAGCACATCAAACGATAAAAATGAATCCACACACAGTTAATACCCTATAAAGAAAAATCGAAGAGAGAAAACAAATGTTCAAAAAAATAACTAACAAAAATAACGCCAGAAAAAACAAATTAAAGATTGTGTTGTTCCTCCCCTCCCGCTAATATACCCCATTTCTACACTTAACAGCTGACACCACCACGCAGAAAGGCCGCACGCAGAAAGAAGAAAAGAGAAATAATGATTTAGATAAATAAAAACAGCAGAAAAATAGTAAACGTATAATTGTAAGTGAAGTAAAAATTATTATTTGAATGAAAAAAAAATAACAGTAGCAATGAGAAAGTTTATATATAGGTCTTGAAAATTAGTTGTAAGAACTTTGTTTTTTTTTTTGAGTCTGCGTACTCAACAATAAAAAAAATGAATTCAACAAGTTACATCAGTTATTGAGAAGGAATCATGCAATTTTAAAAGTCTAGTAAATTTGGTTATATAATGGGGTAGGAAGTCGTCCGATTTTTCTCATTGGGGGTTTTTACCAATTTAAAAAAAAAACCATGGCAGGGTTGGGTGGAGAAGCGGGTGCCAATCGTCACCTAAGGCCTCGCCTCTTCATATTTTTTTTTGTCTGGTATATGTACAAACTCTGTGTTCGTCTTCCCCCCCTTCCCCTTCACTTCGGTCATGTGGACCATCTTTAGGGATCTTAACAATTAAAATTTGTGTTCGGAGATTTGAGAGGTAACAAAGAACCCCCCTACACTCATGAATGAGCTAAGGGACCAGGAGATCCCGCCCGTTATCTCTAAATCTATGGCTAGCTCTATGCATTATATGAATGTTGGCGCCCGACCAGGGACAGGGAATGCATAGAGCCAAAGCAGTGTTTTAGTAGCAGCATATACAGCACTCGTCGGCCTACACACCGCTAATTCACTACAAGAGCATGCAGAAAAATGTTCGGTGTGTAAATACTTTTGACCACCTCTGTATATATATATATATACATATATATAATGTATATATGTATCTTTATTTTTGGGTTTTTTTCTTTTTTTCTATTAAAGCAGCACCGTCTTGCTCTTCTGCTCAGATTTTTTTCGGGGGCTATTTCTTTTTATATAGCCCTAACCTCTGCACATACATATGTATGTACATGTGGCTTTGCTGGCCTAGAGGTTAGGTTATAATATGGGCTGCAAAATACAAAAACCGAACATAGTCTCTGGAAACAAAGTTTGTTTAATTTTGCTAATTTGCCAATATTTACCTGCGATTGCCTGGTCGCGCATTTCTTTTTGCCCACGGCAATTAAACGAGTGCGGCTGCGCTCACAAATGTCATTGACTGACAATGGGCCAGATTCGACAATGTAATTGTTTTTTTTTTTTTTTTTGTATGCCACAAAAAAAGATTTTTGATGTAGAAAATTGCTTTTTTTTTTTAAATATATATATATATAGTTGCTCGAACTCCACGCCGTGGGTGTTTTCTATGGAATGTGGGCCGGCAAAGACAGAGCTGGCCGCGTTTTATACGCCCACATTCCAGTGTTCTTCTGCTCAGTCGTTCCGCTCTCAGCGAAGCTTCGGGCGCGGGATGCAACTGAACGGATTTCTCCCACTGTCTCCGACAAGCTTTAGCGATGCGCAAGCTTAGCAAAAGCTCGATCGCTAAAGCTCCGCTTGTCCCAAGCTCACTTGCATTGCAGCTCGATCGCTAAAGTTCCGTTTGTCCCAAGCTCACTTGCATTGCAGCGCAAGTGACAATGTTGTCGCGAATGATAAGCACTGCAATTTGCAATCTCACAGATTCGCGACCATTACAGATGCTAAGCAGCAATCGACGCCTACAAAGCAGAGCCCGTTAACTCTATCTCTTTATGATCTCTTATTACCTCTCTCTCTCTCTATTTAGACTTAGTTTTTAGTACTTTTGTGACAAGCAAAGCAGCCGCATTGAAGCGGAAAAATATTTATATTATTACTTTGGAAATAAAGTGTTTTATTGAAAGTACCGGGTTATTACACATCCCATCCCTAAAATTTAAATTTACTATACATTTACTATACATTAGGGGCAAGTTGAGTGGCAAAAATGATGTTACAGAATATGTTATTGTTCAGGTAGATGCATTTACTAAGTTTCTCCATTTTCATCAGACGTTGCATTAAAGCCGATAAGTCTACTGTAGCCCTCTTTGGAGCACCCAATCGTATAATTGCAAATCAATAATTAAAGCTAAGAAAAATATGCTCAGGAATGCCGAGTGTGATAAAAATAAAAATAGAGCTGATAAAAAAAGGCAGAAATAAGAAAGGTGCTAGAAGGTGACCGTTACATAGAATCATTGATGATATAAATATTCGCATGAGTTTTTACGAGCATTATCAGATAAGCAAATCGAAACAGAAATATTTTACGACATTGACTACGGTGAAAAAGACGCTGGTCAAGAGGTAACTTCCCTAGAAGGTGTGGATGACATCATACACAGGGGCTAGGTTCAAGTGTCAAGGTCACGATAGTGAGGGATCATGGTAAATGTGGTACATATCGGCGCAGAGTGGCGGCAAGAGCCTGCTTAACTGTGGTATGATAAAATGGAAAGCCAAATGGTCGGGTTTTCGCAGAAGAGTACCAGCTACTGGAATACCAAATGGGCGAGTTGTTGCGGAAGAGTACAATGTACTTTGAGAATGTAAATGAGATATCCCATAACACTGTCATTTGATGATGTAACATGGGCGTGAGATAAAAGTGAAATCCAAATGGTTGAGTTTATTTGCATTAACCAACATTTGAAGACATTAGAAAATGTGTAATGAGATAAATAATGATTATGTGGGTAATGAACAGAATGATTTATTTTGATAATACTGATGAGAGCAAATGTAAATGTTTAAACGATGCGAATACATATGTAATATTGGATGATGAAACTATGTAAACGAGTTAACTTATTTTGATTAAAAATGAGATGAGTTTTTAACTGTATACATGAGGACGTGTAATCGTCAGGAAGGCCGTGTCAGAGATTTATGTAATTAACATGAGAACTTAACATAACAGGAGTATGTTATGATAACTACATGAAAGTGAAATGTTGATGATTTAGCAATGTATTGGTGCACTGTTGCGTCAGTCAGTCTGACACAATGTTGCGAGACTGTGTCGCTACAAAGACAATCCAATATGTAAAGCAAATGACCAAAGAGGAATAACGGGTAGCGGTAAATTCTATGCCCAGCTGAGTGTGGCGCGATTGTTGTTGTGATGTGAAAGAGTGAACATGGGCACGAGCGTTGAGGCTGTGCGTACGTGGCTTTAGTCTGAGGACATGAAGTGAAGTAACAACGAGACAATCGCGACTCGCTGCGTTCAAAGCAAAAGAATAAATATCGCTTGCTGTAATAAAAATTTATCATGGAGAAAATAACTCTGAGCCATCTCTGACATGTACATACACAGATTTTGTAAGTTACAAATTTTTGATACTACTCCCCCTTCACCATCAATTTTTAGAAAACGTAGATTTGAGTTTGGGAATATACACACATTTGAACATTATGAAACAAATAAGTTCTCAAAATATTGCTCACACTGCAGCCTTAGCGCAGTCGTTGCTATCTACGCAGTTAGCAGAGCGCGTCCTTATTTATACGTCGGCAAAAAAAGTTTAGGTACACAACGATTTTTCAACTTAACTGTATTAAAAAGTGGTTAAATGAAACCACTAACCAGAGTGATGAAACTAAATAAACAAAATTGTTGATGCGATCTTTTCAACAGTGTTGCCAAATCAGCTTTTTTTTTCCGTCAAATCTGGCTTTTTTGAAAAGCCGATTGCGGGAAAAATTCCAAAACAGCGGCCAGCGGGAATTCTGGATTTTTTAAAGAATAATTTGCTTTATTTCCGCTTTTTTTTATTACTGAGCAAATTTTTGTATTATGTAGGGATAATTCTTAAGAAGAATAAAGTTTTCTTCATTGTAGTTGAATTAAAACCAAATAGTTCAGTAATTCAATTTATAATGAACGAACCAAGCGTTAATAATATGGAACTAACTAAACTACGATATGATTTATATTTAATTCAGAACAACTTATTGTGAACAACAATATTTAACTTTTTTATTCTATGTAAAGCTTATAAAGCAAGTACAAGAATTTAGGTGTTAAAGGTTGCCGATAAATTTTCAAATAGTGAAAAATATTGATTCATTTTTATGCATATATATTTTTGGAGAACATTGAAAGTATAGAACACCAATATAAGAACATTCACCCAATTCAGTAGAAAACTACTCAAGACGCTACAAAGTTTTGGGTTGAGAGGCGTGTTTCTCAGGATTCGATAGGAAATAAGAAATTTAGGAACTTGGCCACTTTTGCATTGTTTTCTTTGCCAATGCGCAAGTGGGTAAAACTTTTCGTCAGATCAATACTGTGATGCTTAACATATATGTCGGGGCGTTACGTTTCTCATTATGGTTTTCCATCATAGCTGCGCGTAATAACGAATTCCCGGTGTGTCGCTAAACTCTTCTTAATGCTCTTTCTCGTTCAATAGTCATTGACCAACTGTGTCTTCTCCTCTACTCTCGAAAGTTCTAATCATGGTCGCATATTCTTGTTCATCGAAAGCACAGCGACCCTGCTGCGAACGGCATGACTAGCCGTCTCGCTCTCACCCAGCGACACCCGGGACTACGTTCAGCAACAGCTATTGTTGTCTCTCTCTTAGTGGCAGTGCCTCCTTTAATTGCACCACAATACTAAATCAATCGATTAACACGATATCAAGATATCTAATTGCAATTTCAACAGTGTAATATCGCACTGACACGACACGGCCATACTGACAGTTACACGTCCCTGTGTAATTCATTTCTCATAATATCATTCCGACACGGCCATACTGACCCTTACACGTCCGTGTGTTATATAGGGCATCATTCTAAATTACTTTCTATGCTTTATTATTTATTCTATTTTATTTATTCATAGCTACTTTTATTTTATTTATTCATTTATTTTGTTTTGTTTATTTATTTCTTTATTGTATTTATTATTTATTTTATTTAGTTATTATTATTATTATTATTTATTTTTTTTTATTTTAGTTAAAGATATTTTTATTATTTTAATTTAATTTAATTTTTATTTATTTATTTTTATTTTTATTCTTTACTATTGATAGTTATTACAGTTCGATTTTACATTCGCATTTTCTTAGATTTCGGTATCTATCAATATTATCATTAACATTACTCTTCTGTTATTCTCGATTCTGCAAACTTCGTCCTGCCAAGACGGATACCACAATTCTTTCTATCATTCCTTATTCATACCAACCATTGGTCTTCACCATTATATCATTTTCGCTGTTATTTCAAACTCATCGTCTTAACTGACGGATAGTACATCGCCTCTCTTAGGCGGATAACACATCGTCACACCTGACGGATAGCACATCGTCTCTCTTACACGGTTAACTCATCGTCACACCTGACGGATACCACATCGTCTCTCTTAGACAGATACTCCTCGTCGCACCTGACGGATAACTCATCGTCTCTCTTAGACGGATACTCCTCGTCGCACCTGACGGCTATCACATCGTCTCTCTTAGACAGATACTCCTCGTCGCACCTGACGGATAACTCATCGTCTCTCTTAGACGGATTCTCCTCGTCGCACCTGACGGCTACCACATCGTCTCTCTTAGACAGATACTCCTCGTCGCACCTGACGGATAACTCATCGTCTCTCTTAGACGGATACTCCTCGTCGCACCTGACGGATAACTCATCGTCTCTCTTAGACGGATACTCCTCGTCGCACCTGACGGCTACCACATGGTCTCTCTTAGACGCATAACTCATCGTCACACCTGACGGATACCACATGGTCTCTCTTAGACGCATAACTCATCGTCTCTCTTAGACGGATAGCTCATCGTCACACCTGACGGATAACTCATCGTCACACTTGACGGATAACTCATCGTCTCTCATAGACGGATAACTCATTGTCTAACCGTTATTCCTCTTTTGTCATTTGCTTTGCATCTTGCATTGTCTATGTAGTGACACAGTCTCGTCACTATGAAGTTTTACAACATCGCAAAGAAGCATCGCAACATTGTGTCAGACTGACTGACGCAACAGTGCACCAATACATTGCTACATCATCAACATTTCACTTTCATGTTGTTATCATAGCACACTCCTGTTATGTCAAATTCTCATGTTAATAACATAAATCTCTAACTCGGCCTTCCTGACGATTACACGTCCTCGTGTATACAGTTAAAAACTCATCTCATTTTTAATCGAAATAAGTTAACTTGATTACATACTTTCATCATCCAATATAACATATTCGCACCACTTAAACATTTACATTTGCTCTCATCATTTACATTTGCCCACATAATCATTACTTTATCTCATTACACGTTTCCTAACGTCTTCCAATGTTGGTTAATGTAAATAAACTCAACCATTTGGATTTCACTTTTATTTCACGCCCATGTTACACCATCAAATAGCAGTGTTACGGGATATCTCATCTACATTCTCAAAGTACAACGTACTTTTCCGCAACCACTCGCCCATTTGGCTCTCCATCGAACGTCAGTTTGGCAGAATATCGCTCAAATTCAGTAGCTCGTATTCTTCTGCACAAACCCGCTCATTTGGCTTTCCATTTTATCATACCACAGTTAAACAGGCTCCTGCCGCCACTCTGCAACGATATATACCACATATACCAAGATCTTTCACTAGATTAACTGTCCGCCATGAACAATGTCAGCCTTCACCAGCGTGACCATTGACAACTGAACCTAGCCCCTGTGTATGATGTCCTCCACACCGTCTAGGTGGCAGAGGTAACCTCTTAACCAGCGTCTTTTTCACCGTGGTCAATGTCGTCAAATATTTCTGTTTCGATTTGCTTATCTGGTAATGCTCGTAAAAACTCATGCGAATACTTATATTTTCTCTTGTTTGTTAATGACTTCAACATGTAACGGTCACCTTCTAGCAATTCAGTAACTACAAATGGTCCCTTAAATTTGGGATCCAGTTTTGTCTGATGCCGCTCTTCACTTTTTATCAAAACGTAATCACCAATTTTGTATTTCTTAATTTTTGCCTTATTTTTATCTACTCTATTTTTGTCATACTCGGCATTCCTGACCATATTTTCTTTAGCTAGAACTCTCCCTTCACTACGATCAATTCTCGTTTCTCCACCGATAGGTAGCATGCCCAGAGTCCTTGCTGCCCTACCAATTAATAACTCTCATGGATTTAAGTTAGTTACACTATTGGTTGTGCATTTCATGGCTAACTGTACTTCTTTTAAAGCTTCTTGCCATAATCGTGAACTTGTTTCTACTGCTGTCAACATACTTTTCATAGTATTCATCACGCGCTCCACTTGTCCATTAGCTCTACTAGCGCTTGTTGCTATCAAATGCAAATCTATTTTATTACTTGAGCAAAAATCTTTAAAGCCACTACTTGCAAAGCTTCTGCCCTGATCTGCAATAATAAGATAAGGTGCTCCAAAAAATGTTACAGTCGACTTTACGGCTTCAATGGAATTATTTGTGTCTAGGTTTAATGTGTGATGTAAATGGACAAACTTAGTAAATGCATCTATCTACCTGAACAACGACATATTCTTTTACATCATTTTTGCCACTCAACTTGCCGCTATTATCTATGTGTATAGTATGCCAAGGTATTTAAACTTTAGGAATGGGATGCATTTCCATTTGTATTTTTCCGGACGAAGCTTTAGCCAAGGTTTGCACGTTATACAATTTTCTACGAACTTCCTTACATATTTTGTCATATTTTTAAACCAGTATTGCTCAAAAACCTTGTCTAGAGTTTTCTGCTAACTCAAGTGCATTATTCCTTCATGCACATGATTAATTACGGATCATCTAAAGGCATTGGGAATTACATAAAGACAACGTGTTTTGCCATTTCGTTGAATAATGCGATACAACAACCCGGCTCTAATTTCATATGTTTTTAAAACATCATTTTGAGTTCCCAGCGTCTGATTGTTTGACTATGTCTATTAAATTCATATCGCGTTGTTGCTCCGCCAATAGCCAATTGTCTGTAATTTCTGATAAATCAACACGAACTTCTTCTACTTTTCTTATAATTTTGACTTCTGCGGGACAGTAAATCTACATGAACCATTCGAACATTTTCATGGCAATACTTATACATTCGATTATCTTTAAGCGACTTTATCAAATATCAGAAATTCTACCACCAAAAATGCACTAGAGATCCGCGCCTCGGAACACACACATCTGAGCACCACGATCACGCTCCGAAAGTCCCACAGAGACAGTCCCACCACAAGATAAACCATCCAACATACAAACTCTCACAACACCGGCCTCACCGCAGCGCAGCCGCCGCCCACCACGCAGCCAGCAAACGCGTGCATGCGCCACCGTATGCGTACACAAAAATGCGCAGAATAACCAGAACAACAGCCCAAGTAGTCAAGGGCATCTCCCAGTCGAGCAGCCTCGACCGAGTACTCTCACTTATTTCATATAGCCTTTTGTGCAAAGCTATCTTTAGCCAAGGAATAATACACCAGAATCAAAGATAATTGGAAAGCTCTCACCTCGGATCGGTATACTTATCTTCGATTCATCTACCACACATATTTCAGCTAAAGTCGCACATCAATTTTCAGCATCAACGTCGGCCACGTCAGCGTTAAATTTTCGTAGAATGACGGCACGTTTCTGCTGCTCACTTCACGTATTGATAGTCTTGACAAATTCGGTTTTGTAGGCCCAAAATCGTACGCCACTGCTCCTCCGAGAACGTAGGAGGTGGTGCCGATCCCACTTCTGATGTCGGGGCGTTACGTTTCTCATTATGGTTTTCCATCATAGCTGCGCGTAATAACGAATTCCCGGTGTGTCGCTAAACTCTTCTTAATGCTCTTTCTCGTTCAATAGTCATTGACCAACTGTGTCTTCTCCTCTACTCTCGAAAGTTCTAATCATGGTCGCATATTCTTGTTCATCGAAAGCACAGCGACCCTGCTGCGAACGGCATGACTAGCCGTCTCGCTCTCACCCAGCGACACCCGGGACTACGTTCAGCAACAGCTATTGTTGTCTCTCTCTTAGTGGCAGTGCCTCCTTTAATTGCACCACAATACTAAATCAATCGATTAACACGATATCAAGATATCTAATTGCAATTTCAACAGTGTAATATCGCACTGACACGACATATATATTATAAAACTTCACAGATACGGCTTGCAGTGGTTGAATAAATAATGCCATGATTATAAGTTGTTAAAAATATATTTAAATATCAATCAAATCAAAACAAAAACAAGTAAGAAGGCTCCAGTCGAGACTGCTCGACTAGGAGATACCCTAAACCCTCCAAACTGATATTCTAATCATTCTGGACTTCTTTTATGCACACATACATACACATGCACGTATAAGCACGCGCTCTGCAAACTGCGCAGCTAGCAGCGGCTGCGCTTGGGCTGCACTGCAGTGTGGGCAATATTATGAGAATTTATTTGTTGAATAATTTCTTTTGTAGACATACGATCCTAATGAAACTTTTGGAGCGTAATCATATGGCTAAAATGTGTGTACATTCCAAAGCACAAGTCTCTAGTACTTGAAATGCAAATTGGAGACGAAGGGGGCGTGGTATCCAAAATCTGTAAATTACAAAATCTTTGTATCTATTAACTTTATATACAACGCAAATTTGAAGTCTCCAGGTCTAAAAGTGTTCAAATTAAGCTGAAAAAACAATGTCGATTTTTCGATGATTCTCGATAAAAGATTTATCGGACAAGTTATCGAAAAAATAAAGCAAACTTGTACTGCCTATGGTATACACGAGTATTCATGCCGAATTTCAGCTCTCTAGCTCTTATATCTTCTGAGATCCTTTTGCTCATACGGACGGACGGACAGGGCTATATCGACTCAGCTCGTCGTCCTGATCAAGAATATATATACTTTATGGGGTCTGAGATGATTCCTTCTGCCTGTTACATACTTTTCACAAAACCATTATACCCTGATTTCCCATTTTCAATGGGTTCACGGTATAAACAGCAACTTTTTTCCGATTTTTTTTTTTTCACAAAATTTCGGCTTTTTAAACTCATTCACGAAAGTGAAATGAGTATATTGGTTTTGTGCAATGTCCGTCTTGCTGTCCGTCCGTCTGTCCGTATGAACGCAATCTATTTCGGCGCTATTGAAGCTAGAGACTTGAAATTTGGAAAACATACTCGTGTATATCTCCGATTTATAAAGTTATAAAGTGTTAAAATTTTCCCGATCCGCCCACTAGGGGCGTGGCAAATCGGAAAATGCATTTTCCGATATGCCAGAAATCATGTTTGTTGAAGAGCTAGAAAGCTGAAATTCGGTATGTAGGTCCGCGCCGACCACCCAAGATATATCTCCGCCCATTAGGGGCGTGGCAAATCGGATAAAACTGTATCTCCTAAAGTTATAAACCTAGAATGCTGAAATTTTGCATGTTTTAATTCAATGAAGATATGTGAAAAAATTATATATCTACGCCTATTAGGGGCGTGGCAAATCGGACCTGAAGATATAATGATTTTTCGAATTCTGCTATATTTTAGGCACTATTGATGCTAGAGATCTGAAATTTGTTATATATACGCGGGTTGGTCACCCAAGTCCAACAAGCTATGGTAGATATATGTCCGCCCATAGGGGGCGTGACAAACCGCAAAAGTTTATATCTCCTACAGTTTAAGAGCTAGAAGCTTCAAATTTGGATAGTTAAGTTACTGGTAGCCTCTTCTGGCATATCGAAAAATACCCTGTAATTTTCACGTTTTTTGAGCGTAAGAATTCAAATTTTGCATTTAGGTTACCGGTTGCTCGTTCTAAGAACTGGCTAAAAATGAGGAGTCTACGGCCACTAGGGGCGTGGCAATCGGCATTTACAGTGCCCGAATTGCGACTGGAAATTCAAAAACAATGCAAAGACAAATCAATCGCAGCGAGATTCTTAGAATATGCTAGAGTACGCATTTATGTGTACATACATACACACATACAAATGAGCGCGTGTTTAAGAAGAAACAAATTTAAACTTATAAAATTATTCGACTAAGAAAATGAAAAGCATTATGTGCCATTCAGTCATGCATAGGAAAATCGCGCTGATCTGCTGTTAGCTTGAAGCCGGTATCCAATATATGGATATAAATATATATTAAAATTGTATAAATTATATATGTATGTAATTTGAATGCAAAAGCTATCGATGATTTTCCAATTTTAATGGCATCATGCCGTGTTTTTTCTTGCGCACTAGACTTGAAAATTGCACTATATACTCTGGTTGATAGCGTTTGGGCTGTGAATGAGTCTTCTGCAATCGGTATCGCCCGACTGCAACGTTCTTACTTGTTTTTGTTAAGTATCTTCCCACTAAAAACAGCTTTTTTTGCTCAACAAAAATTGGCAACACTGCTTTTCAATTATATATTTGTCCACATGAAAACATTATCATTAACTTATTTCAATAAAAAACAGTTGAATTAGACTAAATAATATGTAAAAAACAAGAAAAATATGCCAAAAAAGTTAAGGTACACTTAAAAAAAAACTATCTATAAATATGTATTAATATTTACTAGGACCGCCTTTTGCAACAATTACTGCAAGCAGTCGACGACGCATACTTCGTGTTTGGTGTGATTTTCGGTGATTTTGACCCATTCGGAGCTCAAAACTGACTTTAGGGAATCTTTTGAGGATATTTTATATTTTCGGATCCTTATATCTAGTAAATTCCAAATGTGAGAATTGGCGGGGTATGTAACTGTTTCATGTTATATAAAAGCCACTCCCTGACAAGATAAGAGGTGTGTTTCGGGTCATTATCTTGTTGAAAATAATAATGGCCGTCACCTAACTGGAGCTGAGTCGCGCTCTCCTTGAGATTATCTTTCAATACTTCCAAATAGTAATGTTTATCCATTTTGGTATCTATAAATACCAGTTTCCCAATCAGATGTGGCCATACACCTCCAGACCATCGCGTTTCCGCCTCCATGCTTCACAGTTGCAGTTAAATTTTTTTAGCTGTAGAGTAGTATTGCGTTTTCTCCATAATTTTTGAACCCTATCTGATCCAAGAATGTTGAATTCGGATTTGTCACTCCATATCACTGAATCCCAAAATGAGTCTGGCTTGTTTAGGCGCTTCTGAGCAAATGCTAGGCGTTTTTTTTTTATTGGCGTCGGAAATCAAAGGTTTCTTACGCGAAGTTCGGGCATTGTACCCCTCCTTGTGGAGCACATTTCGCACAGTTTGGGGATGTACGCTAACTCCTGAGGCTAGAAATATATCCTCCTGTATTTTGGGCGCAGATGTTTTTAGATCCGTGTTTATTGTGGCCAAATCTTTGACACTCAATTTTTCAGGACGGCCTGATTTTGGTTGTACTTCAAGTATTACCGGTTTTCTGTAGGATATTCTTATATTTTGCACACTGCACTATGGGCGATTTATCTATTTTGGCGGCATAAAGTCTAAAAATAAAGCTAGAAGCCTAATTTTTATACTCATTCACGAAAGTGAATTATACTCATTCACGAAAGTGAATTAGTATACTCATTCAACTATAAAATACTCATAATATTGCCCGCATTGCAGCGCAGCCCAAGCGCAGCCGCTGCTAACTGCGCAGTCAGCAGAACGCATGCTTATAAGTGCATGTGTATGTATGTGTGCATAAAAGAAGTCCAGAATGATTAGAATATCAGATTGGAGGGTTCAGGGTATCTCCTAGTAGAGCAGTCTCGACTAGAGTCTTCTTACTTGTTATCATATAAATTGATTTTACCAATTTAAAAATATTTTTTTTTTTAATAACTCACATAATATTTTTAACTTTTTTATAAAAGTTATAATCGTTGCAGTCCCTGCAACTTTTTGTGAAAACTACCTGTCCTTCGGTTTTGCTGTATTTGGTGCTGTTATTTACCTAGCAGCTTTTTACCTGGGCACGCCGAAAGCTTTAAAATGAACTCGAGACAGAAAAACGACTCGACCTCCCCCTCATCTTTGCACTCGCCCTCCATCCCGCCCTCTTCCCGTTGGCTCATTCAGGAGCTGCCCTTTCCGTGCGCTGAATGCGTACTTAATGAGCGTTTAATTGGCTCAGTGTTTACTAGGTGCCAAGGCTGGGGCGGTCTCCGGACCTTGTGGGTTTTGATTGAATTTCTTGTTAAACTTTTTAATTGCATGCCATTGTTCCGATCGGCTAAATAAATATTTTGTTGCACGTAAATTGTTCAGATTTCCTTTCAAATTTCTCCTATAGTGGACCATCTTCATGAAACTCTCTAAACGTGATCATAAGTTGGTGGTGAAGGGGGCGTGGTATCCAAAATCTGTAAATTACAAAGTCTTTGTATTTATCATATGTACATATATATACAGTAAATCTGAAGTCTCCAGAATAGTGTTGAAGTTAGGCTGAAAAATGTAGGAAAGCTCTAGTCGAGACAGCTCTACTAGGAAATACACTGAGCCCTGCCAGCTGATATTTCTATATTCTAAGTCGTTTTCTAGGCAGATATTCAGCACCCAATCCCTTGACCACTTTTACTTTCGCGTAGAATGGCTTTAATTTTTAAAACTAAATAGTTACTACTAAGTATTATGCATTACTCATCAATCCGCATTATAATATTCATTCATTATACTGTGAATCTGGTGCCCATAGATGATACGCAGCATTGTTAGATTCTGTCTAGGTTTTTAGAGCTGATTCAGGCAGATTATATGTTTCCGTAAGTTTTATTACTCACATTCCATTATATTCTTAGATTCTTTATCGTATGGTAATAAAATTAGTGATGAATGAATGAAATTAGTGACGCTATTTACCATTGAAATTTGCTTATATATACTAAAATTTGAAATTTGCTTATATATACTAAATTTTATTTGTTTTGGACCACTTGGTCGATCTCTGCTGAAGTGCCCGCCAAGCTTCGCTAGGATAACAGAACACAATCTGAAAAAATGACGTCACATGAGAGCTGTTAGTTAACATTGAAAGTAACGGTACTGCTCTTTGCGAAACCTATCACTGTTAAAAGACACAGTAGGTTGCGCAAAGAGCAGTCCCGTTACTTTTAATGTTAACTAACAGCTCTCTTGTGATGTCACATT